CCAAAATGTGGCCTCTTGGTCACATAGATCAATAGTGGTGGGTCCCACCACACAATTTTCTTTTTGACTTTTCTTTTTCCTTTTATTTCCCATCACACATACATATATGTATACAACTATACAAAATGGCACATAACCATATTAAATATGCACAAAATAATCATGTATGGTATGCAATGAACCCAAAATAAAATCCTCGTACACAACAATTCTGGTAGCAGGTCCCACCCAGGACTATCCGGCCCGACAAACGGAGAAAACTGGAAATGACAACCGGTGCATTTCCAAGAGTCCTGAACTCAAGGAAATGTCCCACCCAACTCTCAGACACAATCAACACACCCCACGATGTCCGGCACGTAAAACGAGAAAAAGACAAAATACCCCCGAAAATTAGAAAATTCCAGAAATTAGAAAATGATAAAATTCAGGAACATTACAATCTCTCTAACTTAAAAAGATTTGGTCCCCAAAATCAAGCCATACCTGAGGGAGAAAAAAACTCTGGATACTTGAGCGAACCTCCTGTTCAAGCTCCCAAGTAGCCTCCTCGACCCCATGATGCCTCTAGAGAACTGTTACTAACGGTATCGTTTTGTCCCTTAATACTTTCTGCCATGTGTCAAGGAATTGAACTGGTCCTTCCTCATAAGAAACATCCTCATCAATGTCCACATCAACCCAATCTAGAATATGGGACGGATCTGGCTCGTATTTTTGCAACATCGATACGTGAAAGACGTTGTGGACGTGCAACATCCAACTGTGGTGGCAATGGAAGCCTGTAGGAAACCTCTCCTACCCTATCAAAGATCTCAAATGGTCCAATGAATTGTGGCGATAACTTGCCACTCTTTCCAAATCGCATCAACCAATTCCGTGCAGAAACCCGAAGAAAAACGTGGTCTCCCACCTCAAAGGATAGCGGCCATCTCCGTTTCTCCGCATAACTCTTTTATTGGCTTTGAGCCATGAGCAACCTCTATCTAATCAGCTTAATCTATTCTGTAGTCTCGAGTACGATGTAGGGTCCTAAGGCGGTTGTCTCGCCCACCTCAGTCCAATAAACAGGAGACCTACAAGGCCTGCCGTACAACGCTTCAAATGGAGCCATCTGAATGCTCGCCTGATAACTATTGTTGTAGGCAAACACAATGAGTGGAAGGTGGTTCTCCCAATTTCCTCCAAAATTAAGAACACTAGCCCAAAGCATATCCTCTAAGATCTGGATGGTGCACTCCGATTGGCCATCCGTCTGTGGATGGAATGCCGTACTAAAGTGTAACGATGAACCAATCGCTGCTTGAAGTCCTTCCAAGAACTTCGAAGTAAACTTGGCATCCCTATCTGAAACAATAACCACTGCAACTCCATGCAATCTCACAATCTCTTTCACATAAAGTGAACCAAGTGCCTCTGCATCATCTGTTCCCTTGATAGGAAAAAAGTGTGCCGTCTTGGTCAATCTATCAATAATGACCCATACGGCTTCATTTCCCCTCCGTGACCAAGGAAGACCTGTCACAAAATCCATTGGAATCTCCTCCCATTTTCACTGCGCTACCGGTAATGGTTGCAATAAACTAGCTGGTCTTTGGTGCTCGGCCTTCACCTGCCGACAGGTAAGGCATTTGGCCACAAACTATGCAACATCTTTCTTCTTCCCACTCCACCAATACTGTCTTCTCAAATTGTGATACATCTTGGTACCACCTGGATGAACTGCAAAATGAGAAGTATGAAACTCCCGTAAGACGTCCTCACGGCAAACTATGGGAACGACCAACAAACCCCTGAACCATAGGCCACCATCTGCATGTAAAGTCCAATCTTTCACTGTCTCACCACTCGAGATCAAAATCTAAATAGAATCTAAATCGGAATCCTGTCTCTATGACTCAATCACTCGTCCGACAAGAGTAGGCTGAGCCACAAGACTAAACAAGAATGTTGATTCACTACAAACATCGTCGTCAAGGCGATACAATCCCATCTCTACCAAATCCTCAAGTATCTTCCATTTCCAGATGGCTAATCCAGCCAAAGTCCCATGAGATTTCCTACTTAAGGCATCAGCTACCACATTAGCCTTGCCCGGATGGTACTGCAAGTCAAAGTTGTAGTCTTCTAAAAATTAAACCCATCGCCTTTGTCTATTGTTCAAGTCCTTTTGGGAGAAAAGGTATTTGAGACTCTTGTGGTCCGAGAAAACCTCAAATCTCTCACCATACAAATAATGTCTCCAACAATTCAAAGCAAAGATGACTGCCGCTAACTCCAAGTCATGAGTAAGGTAGTTAAGCTCGTGAGTTTTCAACTGTCGAGACCCATAAGCCACTACTCTACCATCCTGCATCAGTACACAACCCAATCCATCACGTGACGCATTGCAATAAATCACATAACCCAAGCCACGATCGGGTATCACCAACACTGGAGCCGTGATCAACCTTTTCTTTAACTGCTGAAAGGAAGACTCACGGGCTTCGTTCCATGCAAATTTTATCCCTTTTCGGGTCAATCTGGTCATAGGAGCTGCCAAAGGGGAAAAATCCTTCACAAATCTCCGATAATAACCCATTAGGCCAAGGAAACTCCAGATCTCAAAGACATTTTTAGGTTGCTCCCAATTCAGAACTGCTTCGATCTTCAATGGATCAACTAACACTCCACCCTCCGAGAATACATGTCCCAAAAACTTCACCTCTTGCAGCCAAAATTCACACTTCTCATATTTAGCGTACAAACGGTGCTCTCGTAAAATCTGTAACACAATCCTCAAATGGACCTCGTGCTCCTCTCTAGTTCGTCAATATATAAGGATGTCATCCATGAAAACTACCACAAACTGGTCCAAGTAATCTTGGGAGACGCGGTTCATTAAGTCCATGAATGCCATTAGCGCATTAGTCAAACCAAATGGCATAACAAGGAACTCACAGTGTCCATACCGCGGACGGAACGCTGTTTTCAGGATATCCTCATCCCTCACTAGCAATTTATAATAGCCAGACCTCAAATTAATCTTCAAGAAACAACTGGCTCCTCTCAACTGATCAAATAAATCATCTATCCTTGGCAAAGGATACTTGTTCTTGATGGTGGCATGATTCAACTTCCGGTAATCAATGCACAACCTCAAAGAACCATCCTTTTTCTTAGCGAACAAGACCGGTGCACCCCACGGTGACACACTCGGTCAGATGAAACCTTTCACCCTCAAATCATTAAGCTGCTTCTTCAATTATTCCAATTCAATTGGTGCCATAGATACGGTGCCATAGAGATTGGCGCAGTACCACGCATCAAATCAATAGCGAACTCTACCTCTCGGTGTGGAGGCAACTCCGTCAAGTCCTCCGGAAACACATCCAGAAAATCACGCACAACTTTCGGATAACAAACCATACAAAACTCAATATCATCATCGGCGAAAAGGCTAGCCAAGAAGAATGTTTGCCGATCCCAACCCCTGACACCATAGAATGAATGAGTGAGGGGATCACACCGATCTCCCACAAAACAAAAACAATCCCCATCCGGGGTATACACTGACACTCTGCCCCTGAAACAATCAATGACGGCTCTAAAAGATGACAACCAATCCATCCCAAGAATGACGTCAAACCCTGTTATCTCGAGAAGGATGAGATCAAACTCAAGAACACGTTCGGCGATCGTGATGGAACAACCCCTACAAACTCTACTAAGAATGACTGAACCCCCGATAGGTGTGTCATCACTAAGCGGTCTGTCTAGCTAAATGACCTTTAAACCCAATGCCCGTGCAAATGATGAAGATATAAATGAATAAGAAGCACCGGAATCAAACAACACTCGAGCCCAAAAATGGGACACAAGAAACATATCCTTGACAACTGAAGGACTGGATGATGGCTCAGCTGGAGTGAGTTCAAACATGCAACCTTGAGTCCTCTGACCATGGGAACCGCCTATCTGATAACCAGATTATTGGGTAGGTACACTCGAGGAAGCTCCTCTACCCTATCGAGAACTCTGGGCTGACATAGCTGGTTGAGACGACTGAGGTGCTGGTGGCGGTCGAAACCCCTACTGAACTGTGGCAAACTAAATCTGCTTCTGCTGTGAACTTCCACCTCTGCCCAAACCACTGCCCCATTGTCGAAAATCTTTCACCCTTTGGCCCTGTTAGCCACACCCAAAACATCCACCAGACACCACCTGAATCTAAGTACACTAAGACTTGTGATGCCCTGACTGCCCACACTTGAAACAAATCACTTGAGCTACCTGAGCCTGAGTGCACTAGGATTTAAAATGCCCTGGCTGTTTACATCTGAAACAAGTGACATTCGGTCTAAAAGACCATATAGACACAGAACCTGTGGGTGCAGATCTGGCTGACTGTTGTCCCCTGAACCCTGACTGCTCATACTTTTGCTTCTTACTTGATTGACCCTAAGAGAAAACACCCGTACTCCTGTTGTGCTTATAGACTCTCTAATAGCTTTGATATCCTTGTTTTCAGCTTCAACCACTAAGGCCTTTCGCACTGCTTTCGCATAATCAGTGGGTTCTGAAGTGACCACAATTGGCCTGATGGTAAGATCGAGGCCATCAACAAACTTCTCTATTTTCCCTTCCTCATCATTGGCAATGCCCCATGCAAACCTCAAAAGCGATGTGAACTTGTTTTCTTTAGCTCTCTCTACTTGGGTGCCAGAAAATACTTTTCATAGTACACCTTCTTAAACGTGTCATATGTCATGGTGTCCAAATTATAGGTATGAGAAACGGTCTTCCACCAAATCTCAGCATCCCCAATGAAGTTATAAGTTGCTAATATAATCTTTAACTTATCCGTCGCCAAATTCATGGCGTTGATATGCTTCTCCATCTTATCCATGAAACTATCCGTAACAAGCGGATCTGGACCACCCTCAAATAAGGTTGGCATCAATTGACTCATTTGTCTTTGGAGGTGGTGGTGGTGGTGGTGGTGCCGGTGGTGGCACAAACTATGACAATGATGCTCCTCCCGGCCGAAATGCTTTGAAAGGAGCTGCATGAATGGCCAACTGCAACTGTTCCTCATTTATCTGAAAAGGTAGAACAACGGTCTCCCTCGCTTGTCCCCCTCTTGGTGGGACCAAATCACGCAACAATATATCGTCTTCAACTTGCTCCTGATCCCTTTCTACGGGATTGGAGCTAGAACTTTCCCTGGGATCCCTTCATGGTGGCATGACGCTATAAAACGAGAGAACGGATAAAAAACAATAACACTAAAATACACAAAAGAGTGGAGTCCTTACATAAAAACTCTATAGGAATGTTAAGACTTAATCACTTTTCATACTCCCATAACACCCAACCGATAAAGAGCCTAATCATGCTAACCATAAATATCAACTTTAACAGTTATCATGCAGTCACATAAACAGGTAAACAATTAAGCAAGTAAGCACGCTTCCCAAATAATTATACAACTTGCACCTAAACAAATAAATATGCAATTGAATTTCCCCATGTAATCCTAGGTAGGCCTCTACCCATCGTCCAAATGGTATTCGAACCATCACTCTGATACCAAATTTGTAACAACCCAAATCCACTAGGTCCGGATTGATAAACGGATCTTTATTCAACCCAAAATCATCCAAGGGTAATATGGTCCTTTCACATTAAATTTGTATATTAAAACCCAACAAGGACAAAATGGTCATTTGCCACAAGTCTAATAGTATGAGATTCAAAGGGCATAATGGTCATTTACTTATGTCACTTAATAAATAAGATAGAGTTCGGGACAATATACTCTTTTCTGTGATAAAAAAATAATTTTTGAATTTTATTGGGTCCTAAAATAAATACTCGTAACTTTGACTAAAAGGATAATTAGGAAAACTAAACAAAAAATATATGAAACAAGAACCGGTAGACGTGTACGTATTACACGTCAACTGGTTTGGGTCACGCTCAGTGACATTGCCCACTGCCAAGATATCGGTCGACGTGTTGGAGGCTACACATCGATTGGTTCAGGTCATGCACAGTGAAATAGCTATAGCCAAGATACCGGTCGACATGTGAGAAGGTACACATCGACTGGTTCAAGTCATACGGTTGATGTGTGGGAATTTTACATCGACCGGTTCTGGGTTATCCAAACTCGAAATTTTTCATTGTCCGAGATACACCAACATTGATAACCAATCACCCACGCCACTACACTCACGTACACATTTAAATAAATTTTAACATCTAATACATTAACAATAACAACAATATTCACATAATTTATAACACGTTAACTGAAATACACTAAATGATTTAGTGTAAATAAGCATAATTACATTTCCCCCTAAGGCCATATACAAAATGAACCTGAATATTTCACATGCTACAAAATGGTACATTTGGGTCAACACCTTACAAAATGAGGCCTAATACAAAAGGTAGCAAAATATACATTCTCCTAATCCAAGCTAAAGCTGTGGTAGATGGTCATCCGCCACTTCTTTTCCCAAACCTAAAAATATTAAAATAATGGGGTGAGCTAAACGTTCAGTACGAAGTGTCTAATACACAGTTCTTATGACCTAGTGAATCCACGTAAGGAATAGATAAAAGAAAACGGGATCATTGCATAGGGGTACATGACAACAACTACTGTGACAAGTATATAACTACGGTCACCCAAACACATACACACCATATAATCTAATGAAGTGCAATGTCATGTAAATGTCGCTCCCCATATCCGAAACATTTCTGTTTCAACTTTCAAACCATTAGTGTAATCCAACCCAAGGCACTTCCAAAGCATCACGAAAGGAGGATTGGCTAACCATCCACGACCACAAGGCACCTCCAAGGCGTCGTATCCGGCCTGGTTAGCTCAACCATACTACCCTCTAGACTACACTAACACCAAGGACCACTAGGCGCCTTTTAGGCGTCCGAGTTTTCGCAAACACTTTTAGAAAACTTTTCCCAAAACAATTTCACTTATTTTAAAGACATTTTTTCCCCCTTTTTCTATCCCAATGAATGCATGGAATGTTTCATACTTCAATTCATCAATTCTACCACAAAACTCTCACACATGCTATACACAGCAATTTTCTAATCTACACAATTATAGTTCTCATTTAACATCAACTTTGCATAATAAGCATATAAGACATGGATTCAACCTCATATAAGCATGTTTAAATACTATAAAACAACTAACAATTAGTCACATATAGTCCATACCTATCATTTAAGCAAATTTTACAAGAATTTATACTAATTGAACATGCTAGACATCAATTCAAGTTATAAAACTCACAAAAGTAAAAGAAATCATGCATTAGAACACCCCGACCTCAATGGAGATGAAAATCCCCAAAACTCTAAATCAAAGCCCTAATTTTCAAAATTCCTAGGATGCACCAAAGTTGCAATTGCTTAAATTAACTTGAAGATCTCGCCGAGCTCTTCGATTTGCCGCAAACGGCACCCAAAATTTCCAAGGGATGAGGGAGAAATCAAGGTTTGTAACTTGAAGCAAGATGGGAAAAAAAAAATGAAAATGAAAATGAGGGGAAGAGAGTTTTATAGGGAGAGGGAAAGTGGAGGCCAAAATGTGGCCTCTTGGTCACATAGATCAGTAGTGGTGGGTCTCACCACACAATTTTCTTTTTGACTTTTCTTTTTCCTTTTATTTCCCACCACACACACATATATGCATACAAATATACAAAATTGCACACAACCACATTAAATATGCACAAAATAATCATGTATGGTATGCAATGAAACCAAAATAAAATCCCTGTACACAACGATTCCGGTAGCGGGTCCCACCCGGGACTATCCGGCCCGACAAATGGAGAAAAGTCGAAATGACAACCGGTGCATTTCCAAGAGTCCTGAACTCAAGGAAATGTCCCACCCAACTCTCAAACACATTCAACACACCCCACGATGTCCGGCACGTAAAACGAGAAAAAGACAAAAATACCCCCGAAAATCAGAAAATTTCAGAAATTAGAAAATGACAAAATTCAGGATCATTACAATCTCCCCAACTTAAAAAGATTTTGTCCCCGAAATCAAGCCATACCATAAGGAGAAAACAACTCTAGATACTTGGAGTGAACCCCCTGTTCAAGCTCCCAAATAGCCTCCTCGACCCCATAATGCCTCCAGAGAACCTTTACTAATGGCATCGTTTTGTCCCTCAATACTTTATGCCGTGTGTCAAGGATCTGAACTAGTCCTTCCTCGTAAGAAACATCATCATTAATGTCCACATCAACCCAATCAAGAATATAGGACGGATCTGGCTCGTATTTTCGCAACATCGATACGTGAAAGACGTTGTAGACTCTGTCCAACTGTGGTGGCAATGCAAGCCTGTAGGCAACCTCTCGTACCCTGTTGAAGATCTTAAATGGTCCAATGAATCATGGTGATAACTTGCCACTCTTTCTAAACCACATCAACCCCTTCCGTGGAGAAACCCAAAGAAAAACGTGGTCTCCCACCTCAAAGGATAGCGGCCGTCTCCGTTTATCCAAATAACTCTTTTATCGGCTTTGAGCCATGAGTAGCCTCTGTCTAATCAGCTTAATCTTTTCTATAGTCTCGAGTACGATGTCGGGTCCTAAGGTGGCTGTCTCACCCACCTCAGTCCAACAAACAGGAGACCTGCAAAGCCTGCCGTACAACGCTTCAAATGGAGCCATCTGAATGCTCGCCTGATAACTATTGTTGTAGGCAAACTCAATGAGTGGAAGGTGGTTCTCCCAACTACCTCCCAAATCAAGAACACAGGCCTGAAGCATATCCTCCATGATCTGGATGGTGCGCTCCAATTGGCCGTCCGTCTGTGGATGGAATGCCGTACTGAAGTACAACGATGAACCAAACGCTACTTGAAGTCCTTCCCAAAACTTAAAAGTAAACTTGGCATCCCTATCTGAAATAATAACCACCGGAACTCCGTGCAATCTCACAATCTCCTTCACATAAAGTGCACCAAGTGCCTCAGCATCATCTGTTGCCTTAATAGGCAAAAAGTGTGTCGTCTTGGTCAATTTATCAGTAATGACCCATAAGGCTTCATTTTCCCTCCGTGACCTAGGAAGACCTGTCACAAAATCCATTGCAATCTCCTCCCATTTCCACTACGCGCTACCGGCAATGGCTGCAATAAACCAGCTGGTCTTTGGTGCTCGGCTTTCACCTGCTAACAGGTAAGGCATTTGGCCACAAACTGTACAACATCTTTCTTCATCCCACTCCACCAATACTGTCTTCTCAAATTATGATACATCTCGGTACCACCTGGATGAACTATAAAATGAGAAGTATGAAACTCCCGTAAAACGTCCTTATGGAAAACTGTGGGAACGACCAACAAACCCATAAACCATAGGCCTCTATCTACATGTAAAGTCCAATCTTTCACAGTCTTACCACTCGAGATCAAAGTGTTAATAGCATATAAATCGGAATCCTATCTCTGTGACTCAATCACTTATCTGACCAGAGTAAGCTGAGCCACAAGACTAAACAACAATGTTGATTCACCGCAAACATCATCGTCAAGGCAATACAATCCCATCTCTGCCAAATCCTCAAGCATCGTCCATTTCCGGATGGCTAATCCAGCCAAAGTCCCACAAGATTTCTGGCTTAAGGCATCAGCTACCACATTAGCCTTGCCCGGATGGTACTACAAGTCAAAGTTGTTGTCTTCTAAGAATTCAACCCATCGCCTTTGTCTGTTATTCAAGTCCTTTTGGGAGAAAAGGTACTTGAGACTCTTGTGGTTCGAGAAAACCTCAAATCTCTCACCATACAAATAATGTCTCCAACACTTCAAAGCAAAGACGACTGCCGCTAACTCCAGGTCATGAGTAGTATAGTTAAGCTCATGAGTTTTCAACTGTCGAGACCCATAAGCCACTACTCTACCATCCTGCATCAGTACACAACCCAGTCCATCACGTGACGCATCGCAATAAATCATATAACCCAAGCCACGCTTGGGTATCACCAACACTGGAGCCGTGATCAACCTTGTCTTCAACTCCTGAAAGGAAGACTCACAAGCCTCATTCCATGTAAACTTAATCCCTTTCTGGGTCAATCTAGTCATAGGAGCTGCCAAATAGGAAAAATCCTTCACAAATCTCCGATAATAACCCACTAGGCCACGGAAACTCTGGATCTCAAAGACATTTTTAGGTTGTTCCTAATTCAGAACTGCTTCGATCTTCGATGGATCAACTGACACTCCACCCTATGAGACAGCATGTCCTAAAAACTTCACCTCTTGCAGCCAAAATTCACACTTCCCATATTTGGCGTACAAACAGTGCTCCCGCAAAATCTGTAATACAGTTCTCAAATGGACCTCGTGTTCCTCTCGAGTTCGTGAATATACAAGGATGTCATCTATGAAAACTACCACAAACTGGTCCAAATAATCATGGAAGACGCGGTTCATTAAGTCCATGAATGCCGCTAGCGCATTAGTCAAGCCAAATGGCATAACAAGGAACTCGTAGTGTCCATACCGCGTACGGAACGCTATTTTCAGGATATCCTCATCCCTCACTCGTAATTGATAATAGCCAGACCTCAAGTCAATCTTCAAGAAACAACTGGCTCCTCTCAACTGATCAAATAAATCATCTATCCTTGGCAAAGGATACTCGTTCTTGATGGTGGCATGATTCAACTTCCGGTAATCAATGCACAACCTCAAATAACCATCCTTCTTCTTAACGAACAAGACCGGTGCACCCCACGGTGACACTCGGTCGGATGAAACCTTTCACCCTCAAATCATCAAGTTGTTTCTTCAATTCTTCCAATTCAATTGGTGCCGTAGATACGGTCCCATAGAGATTGGCGCGGTACCAGGCATCAAATCAATAGCAAACTCCACCTCTCAATGTGGAGGCAACTCCGTCAAGTCCTCAGGAAACACATCCAGAAAATCACGTACAACTTCCGGATAACCAACCCCACAAAACTCAACATCATCATCGGCGAAAAGGCTAGCCAAGAAGAACGTCTGCCGATCCCGACCCCTAACACCATACAATGAATGAGTGAGGGGATCACACTGATCTCCCATAAAATAGAAACAATCCCTATCCGGGGTATACACTGACACTCTGCCCCTGAAACAATCAATGACAACTCTAAAAGATGACAACCAATTCATCCCAAGAATGACGTCAAACCCTGTCATCTCGAGAAGGATGAGATCAAACTCAAGAACACGTTTGGCGATCGTAATAGAACAACCCCTACAAACTCTACTAAGAATGACTGAACCACCGATAGGTGTGTCAATACTAAGCGGTCTGTCTAACTGACTGACCTCCAAACCCAATGCCCGTGCAAATGATGAAGCTATAAATGAACAAGAAGCACCAGAATCAAACAACACCCAAGCCCAAGAATAGGACACAAGAAGCAAACCCTTGACAACTAAAGGACTGGATGATGGCTTAGCTGGAGCGAGTGCAAACACGCGACCCTGAGTCCCCTGACCCTAGGAACCTCCTATCTGATAACCGGATTGCTGGGTAGGTACACTCGAGGAAACTCCTCTACCCTGTCGAGAACTCTAGGCTGACATAGCTGGTTGAGACGGCTGAGGTGGTGGTGGCGGTCAAAACCCTGACTAAACTGTGGCAGACTACATCTACTTCTGCTATGAACTTCCACCTCTGCCCAAACCACTGCCCCACTGTGGACAATATTTCACCCTATAGCCCTGTTGGCCATACCCGAAACATCCACCAGACGCCACCTGAATCTGAGTACACTGAGACTTGTGATGCCTTGATTGCCCACACTTGAAACAAATCACTTAAGCTACCTAAGCCTGAGTGCACTAGGGTTTGAAATGCCCTGGCTGTCCACATCTGAAATAAGTGACATTCGGTCTAGAAGACCCTATAGACACAGAACATGTAGGTGCAGATCTGGTTGACTGCTATCCCCTGAACCCTGACTGCTCATATTTCTGCTTCTTACTTGATTGACCCTGGGAGAAAACACCCGTACTCTTGTTGTGCTTATAGGACTCTCTAATAGCTTTGCTATCCTTGCTTTCAGCTTCAACCACTAAGGCCTTTCACACTGCTTTCGCATAATCTGTGGGTTCTAAAGCGGCCACAATTGGCCTGATAGTAAGATTAAGGCCATCAACAAACTTCTCTATTTTCCCTATTATCATTTGCAATCCCCGGTGCAAACCTCAAAAGTGATGTGAACTTGTTTTCATATTTAGTGACTGTAATGTTCCTTTGCCTCAACCCATCAAACTCTTTCTTTAGCTCTCTCCGCTTAGGTGCCAGAAAATACTTTTCATAGTACAACTTCTTGAACGTGTCATATGTCTTGGTGTCCAAATTATGGGTGTGAGAAACGGTCTTCCACCAAATCTCAGCATCCCCAACAAAGTTATAAGTTGCTACTATAATCTTTAACTTATCCGTCGCCAAATTCATGGCGTTGATATGCTTCTCCACCCTATCCATGAAACTATCCGCAACAAGCACATCTGGACCGCCCTCAAACAAGGTTGGCATCAACTTCACGAACTTGGCAATGTGATAAAAAGTATCATCTAACTCATTTGTCTTTGGAGGTGGTGGTGGTGGCGGTGCCGGTGGTGGCACAAAATGTGACGATGATGCTCCTGCCGGCCGAAATGCTTTGAAAAGAGCTGCCTAAATGGCCAACTGCAACTGTTCCTCATTTATCTGAAAAGGTGGATCAACGGTCTCCCTCGCTTGTCCCCCTCTTGGTGGGACCAAATCATGCAACAATCTATCGTCCTCAACTTGCTCATGATCCCTTTCTACGGGATTGGAGCTAGAACTATCCCCGGGATCCCTTCGTGGTGGCATGACGCTATAAAACGAGAGAACGAATCAAAAATGATAACACTAAAATACATAAAAGAGCGGAGTCCTCACCTAAAAACTCTATAGGAATGTTAAGACTTAAACACTTTCCATACTCCCATAACACCCAACCGATAAAGAGCCTAATCATGCTAACCATAAATATCAACTTTAACAGTTATCATGCAGTCACATAAACAGGTAAACAATTAAGCAAGTAAGCATGCTTCCCAAATAATTATACACCTTGCACCCAAATAAATAAATATACAATTCAATTTCCCCATGTAATCCTAGGTAGGCCTCCACCCATCGTCCAAATGGTATTCGAACCATCGCTCTGATACCAAATTTGTAACGACCCAAATCCACTAGTTCCAGATCATTAAATGGATCTTTATTCGACCCAAAATCATCCAAGGGTAATATGGTCTTTTCACGTTAAATTTGTATATTAAAACCCAACAAGGACAAAATGGTCATTCGCCACAAATCTAATAGTATGAGATTCAAAGGGTATAATGGTCATTTACTTATGTCACTTAATAAATAAGATAGAGTTCGGGACAATATACTCTTTTCTGTGATAAAAATAATAATTTTTGAATTTTATTGGGTCCTAAAATAAATACTCGTAACTTTGAATAAAATGATAATTAGGGAAACTAAACAAAAAATGTATGGAATAGGAACCGGTCGATGTGTACGTATTACATGTCAACTGGTTTGGGTCACACACAATAACATTGGCCACTGCCAAGATACCGGTCGACGTGTGGGAGGCTACACGTCGACTGGTTCAGGTCGACCAAAAAGTCGGCATTTCCCACTCAAGGGCTTCTACGGCCTATTCGCTTCTTCTCCAGTAGACGATTTTTTCGTGTGGGAATTTTACGTCGACCAGTTCTGGGTTATCCAAACTCGAAATTTATCATTGTCCGAGATACACCAACATTGATAACCAATCACCCACGCCACTACACTCACGTACACATTTAAATAAATTTTAACATCTAATACATTAACAACAACAACAATATTCACATGATTTACAACTCGTTACATAAACTACACTAAATGATTTAGTGTAAATAAGCATAATTACATTTCCCCCAAAAGCCATATACAAAATGAACCTGAATATTTCACATGCTACAAAATGGTACATTTGGGTCAACACCTTACAAAATGAGGTCTAATACAAAAGGTAGCAAAATATACATTCTCCTAATCAAAGCTAAAGCTGTGGTGGATGGTCGTCCGCCACTTCTTTTCCCGAACCTGAAAATATTAAAATAATGGGGTAAGTTAAACGCTCAATAGGAAGTGTCTAATACACACTTCTTATGACCCCGTGAATCCACGTAAGGAATAGATAAAAGAAAACGGGATCATTGCATAGGGGTACATAACAACAACTACAGTGACAAGTATATAACAATGGTCACCCGAACACATACACACCATATATTCTAATGAATTGCAATGTCATGTAAATGTCGCTCCTTATATCCGAAACATTTCCGTTTTAACTTTTAAACCGTTAGTGTAATCCAACCCAAGGCATTTCCAAGGCATCACGAAAGAAGGATTGGCTAACCATCCACGACCATAAGGCACCTCCAAGACGTCGCATCCGGCCTAGTTAGCTCAACTATACTCCCCTCTAGACTACACTAACACCACGGACCACTAGGAGCCTCCTAGGCATCCGAGTTTTCGCAAACACTTTTAGAAAACTTTTCCCAAAAACAATTTCACTTATTTTAAAGACATTTTTTCCCCTTTTTCTATCCCAATGAATGCATGGAATGTTTCATACTTCAATTCATCAATTCCACCATAAAATTTTCACACATGCTATATAAAGCAATTTTCTAATCTACACAATTATAGTTCTCATTTAACATCAACTTTGCATAACAAGCATATAAGACATGGATTCAACTTCATGTAAGCATGTTTAAATACTATAAAACAACTAACAATTAGTCACATATAGTCCATACCTATCATTTAAGCAAATTTTACAAGAATTTGTACTAATTGAACATGCTAGACATCAATTTAAGTTATAAAATTCACAAAAGTAAAAGAAATCATGCATTAGAACACCCCTACCTCAATGGAGATTAAAATCCCCAAAACTCTAAATCAAAGCCCTAATTTTTGAAATTCCTAGAATGCACCAAAGTTTCAATTGCTTACATCAACTTGAAGATCTCGCCGAGCTCTTCGATTTGCCGCAAATGGCACCTAAAATTTCCAAGGGATGAGGGAGAAATCAAGGTTTGTAACTTGAAGCAAAATGGGAAAAGAAAATGAAAATAAAAATGAGGGGAAGAGAGTTTTAAGGGGAGAGAGAAAGTGGAGGCCAAAATGTGGCCTCTTGGTCACATAGATCAGTAGTGGTGGGTCCCACCACACAATTTTCTTTTTGACTTTTCTTTTTCCTTTTATTTCCCACCACACACACATATATGCATACAAATATACAAAATGGCACACAACCACAATAAATATGCAAAAAATAATCATGTATGGTATGCAATGAACCCAAAATAAAATCTCCGTACACAACGATTCT